GTCCTATATAAAATGATGAGATAAAAAGCATACCTGATAAGATGAATAAGCAACTTACCTTAAGAACCGTAAACAACGGTGAATGAATATAGGCATCGTTAATATGAGATTCATATTTCCTGACGATATGGCGGTAATAGGCAAGAGGCGGATATCCTTCCGGTGGAGCATTTCCTGAAATAAATTAGACTGAAAAGTGGCTTAATTAGATTGATACTACCATGAGGAGTCGGTTTCGTGATATCATCAAAGTCGGTATTGGTCCCGTGACTACTGTAGTCTTCAGTATCCGACTCACCAGAGGTGGATGGGTCTTGGAAATTGTTCATCGTGGGAAGTGGAGTTGTGGGGCGGGAATAGCTTTGTATAAATTAGTAAATTTCCTAATAAAAAATTTTGGAAGCTTACGCTAAGCGGGCATCCCGATCAGCTTCTGATATATGTTCATCTTGATCTGAATCAACAGTACGATGGATCGTAAGGCTGGGTTTCTGGCGCGCATATCGTTGAGATACCATAGAAAGCTTCCTTTCCCTTTTTTTCATGCCCGGGAAAGCTGGTTGAGGCAAATGTACGCCGCCTTTGTAACCTACGGCGAATGTGATGTATTAGTAATAAAGAAATGTTGTATGATATTTAGCATACCGGAAGTACGAAAAGTTGGTTTATCTTTGGGTGATTCATAAAGAAACCATGCTCGTCGAGTAGGTGCATCCTCAGCAGCAATAAAATCCCTCTGCTCTCTTGCCAAGTCCTCCCAATGCGCAGGCGAAAAATACATATCCATAGCGAGGTCGAAAGAAATAGAGCTGGCTTCATACCACTGTTCTGGATGAATATTTGCTTTCAACAAACCACGCAGTACGCAGGTTGGAATACGAAGTTCGATCATTTTTTTGTAGTAATTTCCAGCCAGATCGTTATAATCGAATTTGATACCGTTCTGCAAGAATAGCTGTATCACGCTTTTTCCAGCGTCCAGAGCTACATCTAGATGACTCAAATCGAGCTTCAAAAAGGTAACTGGATGCAGACTAAAGGTCGGAATATCATGATCAACCTATAAAACCACGCACCATCCGGATCCGATGGAAGAGTGAGCTCGGCAGCGGGTGCATTAACGGCATCAACAAAATTCAAACGGAAAGAAGTCATCGCAGATAGAAGGCCTTGGAGTTCTGTTAAAGAAATACTTCCCATCAGTCCCTGTATATAAAACTCCCATAGACATAAATAGGTGGCTGTCCGTGGTTGGGGACCAAAAAGGCGATGCGCCACAATGTTCAGGCCTTGAAATACAAATTTAAAAATTGTAAAGTGAATAAGTTTCAAGAACGTACCATCTAAGTGTAGCTTCCGGCGGCCAAGGACAGTATAAGGCTCATATAAGAGACTGTGGGATAGATGTTCAACTACTGAAAGTTTAACTGGACTTGTATGAACATCCATTTCTGAGGTAGAGTGTTATAAACGCATATAAGAAATTCGACATTAGGCGTACCCATTGAGAAATCATGCGTCCGTAAGTAAAGCTGAAATTCGGGCTGTAACATCAACACGGAAGTTCCCAAACTTCGATAAGCTTCTCCGGAGCTCGTGTTGTCTGACCAAGGATCCACCGAATACTCGTAACCCGTTAGACCAGCCGGGAAGACAACAACGGTACGGTGAAAAAGAACATCAAGAGTCACTTCAAAGACGTTTGACTGGAGGGAAGAAATTAGCAATTGAGAGTAAAACAGTTGTGTCATGCGTACACGTCCTTCTTTCCACTTTGATTCAATAATATCGCCCACGGGGATGTTATGTTCTCGTTTGTATACGTATTCGTCAAGAGTTGAAAAGTGAGTGAAGTTTCCGAAATAATTCTCTCGGAGGCTCATAAGGTTTCTAATAACCCAACCGAAAGCGATGAAGACTACATCTGACCCCTGAAAAGATTACAGGATACAGTACAACCCAGTGAATCAATATGCAAGACTTACAGTTATGCTGAATTTCAGTTGATCAATATTGCCTGGTAAAACTTCAGAATGAGACAAGTAAGAGCCCTCAAGGCGGAAGGCCCGTAATGCGCCGAAATCACTCGTCCTGAATGAAGAGAACATAGCATGAGTGTTCCAGTTAGGTAATGTTAGTACCAAGTTAACATTCGGACTTTCAACCCAAAAAGGATATTTGACATATGATGGTCGAAACGTATTTGAAGGGATGTCAACAGCGCTGCGTAAGGTCTTGCCTCGGAGAGATAATATAGCTGCGAAATAGAGATGTTGAATGGGTAATCTTCAAGGTATAATAGCACGTACAGTTAGCATCGCGCGCATGCGGACGAGTAATCAGATTCTGATCATTAAGGTACAGATTGAATTCGAAATCCCTGATCGCAATGTTAGCTGTGTAACGCATCGGAATCCACTTTTCATAATCAGTAGGAGGCCCAGATATCCAGTCCTTCCCTAAGTCAGTCAAGAGATGTATATGATCACGAATCAAATGAAACGTCGGTGCTTGGAGTGAAACCTCAAAAATCCAATGACGAAAGTCTTTCCAATGAAGAGGGGTGGGCATTTCGCACAGAATCTAAGAAAAGATAACTTTACAACGAGACGTAACGTGAACGCTTCGTAGGATGATTGCTTACCTTTGCGGATGTAGCTGAAAGAAGTTTCATCTCATTGACACTAGATAAAATTTTGACTTCGTCCAAATGAAGCTGCATCAATACATCATATCCGCTAGAGGTCGCAAACCAAGGGAGCACATAATTGATCGTCGAGTTTCCTCCAGCATGGATTTCAATCCAACCAGCTTCTCTCCGTTTTTTGGAAGCTCCAGAAAATTTTCCTTCATTATATTGCCAATCCTGTTTATACGTTATGTAAAAAATGATTTCCACTAGTTATAACGTACCTTGGAAGGTTCGCGGAAAGGAATATGGAGTGTAGTGGTATCGCGTAACTCGATGAATATTTTCATCTCGGTATAGATTCGAGTATCACCAGGGTTCAAAGATGCTGTAGGGGTATTTGTCCTATACGTTTGTGGAAAGAAAATACGCTGCAACTCAATTCTAAATAAAAAGAGTTGGACTAATATCTCGTCTTAGAGATAAGAGTACGGACCGTTGTCGGTCCGCCCATGGTCCGTAGCGAATTATTCCTCCATGCACAATGACGTCCAAACCAAATTGAGGAGATAAATCACCGTTCCCAACTTGTGAATGGATATCACCCTTGAATTCTTCTTTTACTGGGGCCGAAGGAACAGCACCTGTATAATAAATTTCGAGTTGAGCCCCAAACGTAGACGAAACGTTTTACCTGGAATATCCCAATGATATGAGAGCTGCAGCTCTGGAGTATCCAGGATAGTTTCAACAACTGCATAGTGGTTCTGATGCTCGTGCTGTTCAAACATTGTACGGGAATACATGTCTTCTATCTTATCCAATGCTTCGCGACGTTTGGTACTTGTCCACATATCCCGAAACACCGAATAAGTCAGCCTGCTCGGGAGATACTCGCTTTATAAAAGTTAAAACGATCGTCCAGGTGAAATAGTTTAAATTAACTTACTTTTTGAAACGTTTTGCTATGACACGACCTTGGTCAGATAATGAGCCACGGTATCTGTGATTCCGTTCCAAATCCATTTTAGCATCTCGGAATCTTGCATCGACCACAATCTTATATTTATCATGCAAAGACCTAGACTGTTTCATCTTAAAATCAGTTAAATGCATAAGGAAGATAATAGTAAAACATACGGGAACCATGCTGTATGATCCACTTCCAGCAGAAAACTTTGCCACCAAAAGCCGTGGTGTCGCGCCATTACCGAAGAGGATAGCGCCTCGAACGACAGAAACATCAATAGGTAGGATCTCATAGAGTTCTGGTTGTAATATGGTTAACCAAGAGGTTAGTTTATCTTTCAGCCCTTTGACTTTAGAGGCGGCCTCTCGGATTATGGTAGAAGACGTTATGGTTTCATGGGGCGCTGAGTAAGCGTCAACTTCTTAATGGATAATAAAACCAAAAGTAAACCGACATAAAATATTCCGTCTGTCCGTCTCACTACGCGAAGAGAAAGCACGGATGCTTGACCCGCCCTTTTCATTATTGACTTGTTGTATATGTGACAGTATATCGTTGAAAGCGGCCGTGCGGTTGTACAAATGCCATTCCACGCCTTCCAAAGATACGTAGATCCGACTAGGAAGCTTGGATTCCTTGCTTAAATCTAAAATAGTTTGTAATGGGGTTCATTGCAAAAAATTCTCTGAAACAAAGGTACCTTTGACACCGTCTTCACCTCTGTCGGGGTTCACGAAATCATTCCTGGTCCTCCAGATCCAATATCTCCACACTATAGAGCATTTTACAGCGCGAAAAGATTGATTACTAGAATGATAACGAAGATCCTTTATCATAATACGACCAGCCAACAAGGATAGTTGGAACGATTCTTTACGTCATGGTCAGTGATCGTCTTACTGGCAGAGTAAGTGCTGTTGATACGCACCTAACGATACCCATATCCTATCATGAGAGTCCGTCCACCAATTTAAATGAAGTGCATAGCCTATCAGTAACGCCAAAAGCCTATTGGCATAAAACAAATATAGGACAGCTAGGAGAAGCGAAAAAAGACATGAGATGACCAGTAACCTATATATCATTAGATTATGAGCATAGACAACTGTAGAACATAAAAACGTACCAGTTGGAAGCAAGATGAGATAAAGCCATTTGAGATCAACTAGAGGTCAACATGGATCCCAACGGAAGGACTGTTTGTTAGGGATGAACGTGAGTGTGACACGACGTGGGGTCGTGTGATACTAGTAAGTACTCCTCAGTACTAGGTCAATATTGAAGCTGAGACGGGTAGTTCTCTTATTATGCAAAGGGCAAAAATACCGAGCCCATATGGTTGCTCCTTCAGAGTGGGTCTCATTGTGTTCTTTTTTCAGGCAAAAACAAAAAATTAAAAATTGCTCCCTGCCAGGATCGAACTGGCGACCTTCAGATTGTTGCTGACAAAGCAGCATCATACCGCGTATGAGACTGACGCACTACCGGCTGTGCCAAGGAAGCCTCAGTAAAAATCCGGATAAATGAATTTATAGCGTGTTGGATGTTGTAAATCGACAGATAAACGACTTGAGTCTTATTTTGTGCATTCCAAAGTAGAACCAGGTTGATTGTACTTCTAATAAGGTTTTCTTTTCTACCGCACTGGAGCGAAATCCAAGAGGCGGGGTTGACTGGATTCCAAAGGAATGTCTGGCTTGGCGTCACAAAATAGTAACGTATATTTAGCGCTGGTCGAAACCCTTTTTTTGGAGTTCATCTTGAGTTCGTCTCTATATTGATTACTTGAAATTGAGGGTTTGAATCTAATTCAAATTTTGTCTATATAACGTATTTTAGGCTACGAGCAAGTTTCCGCTCTTTACGATTGAAAATCAGGAGCTGGTATCCAGCAGCCAGTCACATGAACACGGTTAATGAAAGAAACGAATATATTTCATAGCGCTCGGCAAACCAGAGTCTAGATGGGCTATACACATCGAATCAAATTGGACAACGCCTTGAAACGTGGATGCGGTGAGGACAGAAGTATTAAACGATCAACTTCATCTTGGACTTGGGTCACTTGGCTTGCGGTAATCCCTCGTTCAGTTTCTGGTTTGCTCCTCATCCGTATACTTTTCACGACGCTGCTGGATGAATATTTTAAATTCGTATTATACAGAGAAAAAAAGAAGTTTGATTAGGCGTCGCTTCTTCGTGGAGTATCTATAGATATCAAACTAGTGGCTGGCTTGCCGGTATTATCCGAATTGTCTCATTGGTCTCAGTTCCTGTTCTTCCTGGTTACCCTCTTCCTCTTTTTTTCTTTCCAGCCAACACTTCATGAGCTTCATATTTAAACAGTTTGCCTATACAAAACTTCCGACTGGTGATTCAGAAGGTGGAAATGGAAGCTGGCCAATCAAAAAGTCATACTCTTCCCATTTTTTTAGACTTGTTCATCGTTTCAAAATCCCAATTATCATAGCAACTTTATTCGTCGCCACGGGCGTTATCGTAGTTTATCGAAGAGGAGAGGGTACAGTTGATATTCCGATTGTTACCCCTCCCCCTTCTGAAAGTCCTCCTCCAGCTGAAAAGACCGAACTTGACCCTACTATATTTGCTTTTGATAAGGAATCCCGCCCATTATGGATGGATTCTCCTCCCACTCAACCACCTTTATCACTCCGCGTCGCGGTCCTATCCCACCCAAAAGAAGTTCAACGCCGACAGCTTATCCGCGATAATCTATTCAAAGGGGTTCGTCGTAATGAAATACACATCGATTACCGATTTCTTGTTGGTTTACCTGTGGATGGTGACAATGTTGTAGAGAAGAAGGTGGAACAATTGAAAGAGGAAGAAAAGGAAAAGGGTGATTTAGTAATTGTAGAGATTAAAGAGGCCTTTAACAGGCTATCGGAAAAGCGGTTTGCGGCCCTGAAATGGGTGCGTTCTTTTTGTATCTATCTATGTTTAAGTCTAACCAGTCGTTTAATCATAGGCAGACTCTTTTTCTAATACCAGCTATGACTACTTCATGAATCTAGATTCTGATACCTTCGTCCGCTTCGGTCCTCTAGCCCGACGTCTTCCTACCGTATTAAAAGGCAAAAACGTTAACCCTAGAGAGGACCCCATTATTATTGCACGGATGCGCCCCCACTGGTGGCATTGGGTAACAACTGTTTCGGACCAGAACCAAGATTCAACAGACCAAGACCTCCGTCTCGATGGACCATGGTACTCATACCCAATAGGAATAGGATACATGTTAAGGTATGTCTTCTTTCTTATCAACCCTATTTCAAGTTCGTTTCTAAACCTTTCACAGCTCATCACTCGTAAAATCAATGGTGACCACCCGAGTTCCTCTTCCACACCACATCCATTTCCCGAACGACGATGTTATGATTGGTTCTTGGATATCATCTTTAAAAACGTTCCCGGATCCCGAACATAGTTTCCGAGTATCTCGTCAACACGACTGGAACCTTGATACCACAATTAGCCCACAGCCTCTCCATCCTAATATCATCGATACTCTCGTTGTTAATGATATCGATGGATGGCACGATTACCCGGGTAGAGCCAATGTAGAAGAGATCGGAGGTTCGGTTGAGTGGAACAGTGTCTGTATTCACCATATCAAGGAAGACGAGATAAAACTATTCAGGAAAGTGCCCGAGTTTCAGGGAGATTGGAAAGAGTAGGGCTCAGGGTCTTCTTAGCAGTCACAATTCTATCAGCTACTTTAAAATTTTATTGTACACACCGTTATTACGACAAAAAAACGGACGAATTTGGAATATTTTTGAGGGCTCTCTTGTTTCCACTACTTAAGTCATCTCCAAGCCTTGAAGTCGAGGAAGATTGTGAAAACATTAGATGGAGATCTCTGCGGTCGGTTTGAGCTGACATTATACATTTATCATAGATGTGTATCCATATCAAAAGAGACGATAAAATCGCAGGAAAATCGCTAGGACTAGTCGGAAACCTGACCAACAATTGTAGTGATAATCTTGTAAGCAGCAATTCGGTAGTCCATAAACGGTCGAAGATTTATAATTATATTTTATACCTGTCTCTAGTCCTGAGAATGAGATTACGAATGGACACGGGATTGACTGTCAAAACTTGAACCGAATAACTTCGCCCAACTGCCAAATTCTGCCTCAATAATATGGGGTCCAGAGCCCGTGCTATTTCGAGAAGCTATGGGCAAAACGTCTTCTCATTCGAACCACTTATAAGGAATCAACGATACTTGGGTTATCGCTGACGGGTATGGTATACTCGTACCGTAAACCGGGGAAATGAATGTTGGACTCGTAAAACAGACAATTTAAGCCTAAGAAAGTTTATGCCTCCACGAGCGGAACAAGAAGTCCTCCGCGCTAGGACATGACACATTTAACATCTATCAACTCCCAAAGTCATACTTATCCGATTTTCACTGATTTAAGAATCTACCTTGGCACTCAAATCAAACGCCGATACTTCAGCCAAATTAGATGTCAGCCATGTTCATGTTCAAAACTTACCAACTTGGCAAGAATGTTACGTTTGGGAATTGTTGTCCAATTTGTCATAACAGCACTCAGTATGCAATATAGGTTATCATTTCATAATGTTCAGCTGGCCTTGCTATCCGAAAAATGGTGCCAAGTACTAAATATGTAATACGTTCAGCTCTGCCTGAAGTCTGTGTCTTCGTATTACAGTACATAGAGCCACCCAGTAATAACTTAGTTCTCATAAAAAGATCATGCCCTACGTTTTGGTATAGATCTTGTGATACCCATATGCATATTTTAATCTCGGAACCGAGCAATCAAAAAACAAAAAATCACGATATTGGTTCGCTTTCGGTAGACCCGTATCAACTTTATTGTTCAGTTTCAGAGCCATCCGAGGCGATCCGAAATGTATCATCTGATAACTCGAAACCTGACGTCGGTTTGGAAAAAGCTGCAACACAAGTCTCAAACTTTCAAGCCAACCTTTAGGCTAGTGCTGATATTATGAATCGAGAATAGCGTAGGCTCGGAAGTATTTGAGTTCCGAAGTTGAAGGTATCACAAGATTGTCATAAGGAGTTATGCATTATGTATCACAACCTGCAGCGAACAAATAATACCGTGTATTGGAGTGAGGTTAAGAATGAGCCTTTGTGTTCGGGCGCCAATCGGGTAGTTAGTCATCCTGATTTGTTACTCATCCCATGTCACATATCACGGGCATCTAATGGCCAACTCAAACAAATGAGGGAGAGTTATGAACCGTGAGGTTGGTATAACTGCACCAACGTTGAACATACTTTGGTGGTCATTTTATTTCATGGGCGAAAGGGTTAAACTTTCGTCAAACTCAAAATTCCTTACAAAGCCTCGCATCAGCATTCACAATTTAGTTGAGGGCAAAGTGAACTTCTAATTGCGAATGATTCGGAATTCGAGAAGATGCAAGAAAGAAAAGGGTGTGACTGTTTTACTTATTTCTTATTACTTCAGGGTCCACGAAGCACGGAAGCCAAGACTAAGCCTTTCTGGGATCCCGGATTAATGGGACCTGATATCCTACGCCACAGGGTGAGCTAAAATACCTGACTGGAAATGCGTATTCATATCATTATTGTCTACGTAGGTACATGTGAAAATTTTGTTCTCCTCTTATACTCACAATTTACTTTAGTGCTCATTGTTGTCCTGAGACATAACGATCGGTCCGTAAAATACCTACTATTGGTCTAGAACAAAAACTCGACCACTGTATCTTTGCCAAACCAGACTTTGAAAGTCCGTATGTATATATACGGATTGTCATTCTCTGGTGCAGGGACGAAATGATAATAAAGGAGGATAAACAAGGCTATCATTCCCTATCAGGTCTGTGCAATAAATTGTCCGAGTCTCCGCTTCGAGCTTCAGGAGGTTTAGGGTGGTGTCCGTTGAACACCGATTTTATGGTGAGCCCTTCAAATACGACTAAATAGTATCGGTAGAATGCTGATAAGACCACGATGAAGTGTCGGACATGTTAACCTGATAATAATAAACCCTTCCACTTTTAAATACCGAGACGTGCGTCTCAATGGCACCAGGCTGTGTGTGTGGTTTTCCTCAAAGATCAGCAAATGAAAGTTTTTCGAAAGTTCCGATAATCCAACGGTATAACTTCCTCCTTTTGCCTTTCGACAACTAAAGATTCAAGTTCACCAATAATTCCGATAATCACGGACCGTTCTCAATTCATCGTGTTGAAAAAAGAGTCTAGATTCTTTGGAGCACGGGTCTTTCTTAACACCTGGCGCAAGTCGATACGACTGGCCTACAGTATAATGATGTTTTGACCATTAATGATGGGGTTTCAGTTTGACAACAGACATTACTTACTTTATGGTGTTCAGTTAGAGAACGACTTACTTACTTTACATGCATGCTCATTGGATAACCGGCAGTCCGGACCGTATCAACCGGCGTTGAAGATATGATAGTTGGGCACCTGCGTTAAAG